CTATAAAATGAGAAATAGTGATTACTGGTAGTGGAATTTGGATGACTAGCTGAAAGCAATCACAGAATTATAGTTGACAAACAGAAAATGCTAAACCCAGTGGTCTATTTTTTCTGAGCCTGATTTAAATGTGCATTGTGTTGAACGGAGCCTCATCTAAATGGTCCACTTTAGCCAGATTACGGAGCTAAAGTGGAGAAACACACAATTATCCCAAGCATTCAGGACAGTCCAGAGAGCTAATTTGGACAATTGGACAAATGATTATTTTCTTTTGCCTCAATTGACCAGATAATTGTGCACAAGTCTCTGCCATTTGGCTCTGTGGAATGTCCCTTTGTGTGGTAAAAATCCCAGCCAAAGATTGGTGCAAAGACGTCTCTCTGAGGATGGTGTGGAGGTAGGACAGGATGAACACAGCTAGTATCCCCTGCCTGACTCTGAGCCCCAAATCAGAAATGCTTTGACTTGACCTGTGTCTCTGCACGCCCACCCAGGGCCCTCGTTAGCTCATTCTGACATCCATCGATTCAGAGGGTCTGCTTTCCCTCACTTTCAAACAACTAAACGAAACCATCAGGCACAAGGTTAAAGGTGGCCTGTGGGTGGTCAAGGAATGTGGAGAGCAAACCAGAAATTTTAAGGGCCAATAAACAGAGATACACAACTCGAAGAACACACTTAACATGCGTGCACCGTGCTAAGTCTCAAAAGGCACCTAACTTCAGATGATGTTGGCCTCCCTAAATCTTAGAAGAAATGGGAACTTTCCATCGCCAACGAATCAGCACCATCGTGAAGCAGGGATTCTTGTTGCTGTCCTGGCTTCCCCACAACCCAACTGCTGACTGCCTCCTATGAAAAAGAAACCATGTGGCTTAACTGGACTAAGGGAACCTCATCATCGAGCTGAGGCAGTCCTCAGTGACATGCTAGCATACTAAGTCGTTTTGTGTGAACACCACAGCAGCTAGACAAGGAAAACTGCTCTAACTCTGGGTTATGATCGGACCTCATAGATGGTGTTCACTCACGTAGAGAAAATCTACATCCAGCCTGTCCCCCCCCCCATAGCTGAGGTGACAATTCAGAGACACCTCAGTGGGCCAGGCAGTGGTGCCTCCTGCCTGTAATCCTAGCTACTTGGGAGGCTGAGAGCAAGAGGATCATGTTTGAGGCCAGCCCAGGCAACCAGTTCAAGAGAACCCCCATCTCCAAAATAACCAGAGCAAAATGGCCTGGAGGTGTGGCTCTGCAGTAGAGTGCCCGCTTTGCAAGCACAAAGCCCTGAGTTCAAAGCCCAGGTCCCACCAAAAAAAAAAAAAACGAGAGAGATACTTCAATGGCAAGAACCAAGTCTCTGGAGATTTCTGCTCAACAGCAATGTGTCCACTGATCTGTACAACTCTTGTGGTGCCATTTCCAGGCAGCCACCAAAGACTCTATCAGAAACAACCAGAGGTTCCAACTCAAAAACCACACACAGCAGGCTGCGGTGTAATCCTAGCACTTAGGAGGCTGAGGGAGGACTAAAAGTTTGAGACCAGCCTGGGTTAATGGCAAGACCCATCTCAACAAACCAAAACCAAAACCACAACAAAAAGAACCACACAACAGAGCCTATGTGTTAATAGATGTCAGAACAGAGGGCTTCTTAATGTAATTACCCCTGGTGGATATTCTTGAACCTTGTAGCAAATGTATATACTCTGAGTAGATCTGACTCTGGAGCAGAGCCAATGGCTGACGACTACAAATTCTGGTCAAAGAACATGGAAAGACACATAGGCCATTCTCTGAAGCCCATTGCAGGCTCTGAAGGTAACTGCCTGGGCATCGGCAACACCTGAACACTGAGCACCCCAGCTGCCAACCGTGCCATCTGGACGGCAATGTCCCCCAGACCCTGGAATTTAACCAGAAACACAGGGCCCAGCGTGACTCGATGGTCACATCTCCCACTGGGTATCATCTTATGAAAGTCAATGCTCCATGACAAAGGGCCCTTCTGGCTTTGGAGGATGCCCCAGAAACACTGCGGGCTCTGAGGTCCACTGATGAACGCCATTCCTCAAAGCTTGCACTGTTACAGGATGGGAAACACTTGAGGCTTTTGGGAAGAGGTGTTAAGAATTTCTTCAGGTACACTACAGTTTTATTTGAGGATTTTCAAATGCTTCCTGCTGTGTACGTAAAGCATATTATTGTTCTAAAGACAGACTTTTCTGCTCTTTGGCAGTTTCCCTTTTTGTATGTTGGATAGCAGAGATTGGTCCCTTTGCAGGTGTCTATTAGACAAACAGACTGACTTGCAGACACTGAGGCAAAGGCCTTGTGCACAAAATAAACTCTCAAGGCTCCAGAGATCCCAGACCTGGCCACAAATGCATTTGAAGAAAACATGGACCCACTGTTAAAATGAATACTAGGACTGCAGGATGTTCTGTAATTCCATGATTGTTTTATTGTACAAAAAGTTTCCAGTAACAGTAAATTAATTTAAAAAAGGGACCAAAAAAAAAAAAAAAACCCTCATTTTGGATAGAAGCACTTCACTAATTGCTTTATTTAAGCATACAAGAAAAGTCTTATCTGACCAATTAGGTTGAAGGGTTTTATTACCTTTAAGAAGCCATTAGCTGGGATAAAACATTGCAAGCACTTGTGTCAAAACAAATAAATAATGCTCTCTCAATTAGCAGAGAAAGCGGTACATCCGTTAAATTAGAGACACACACTGCTTCACCCGGACAGGCCCAGCCAGCGCCCCCCACCCCTCAAGACAAACACAACAATAAAAAGCAGTTTTCAGCTGCAATCTGGGGAAGAACCAGGAGCTTTGGAGGACCTGATAGTAAACACATTCCTCCTCTGGCTCCCCTTGACAAGAGCTGCCCCAGGGCAGCTAAGGAGGCAGTGCCAGGGCTGGGCCCAGGGGTGCCCACAGGGAGCCCCTGCTGCCAGCCCTCTTAGCTGAGGGCACTTCCCAGGCCATGGGAGAGACTGGCCCAGGAGACTGAAGACCAGAATGAACCTACAGACAATGGCTACCCTTCTCCTTTGGAGGGAAAGATTCATCCCCCAGGTACCAAAACAGGATTATTGATTTTCCCTCATGTCCTCTAATACTACCAATCTTTCCCAAGTATAGGCTCAACACAAAAATACAGTGGTTTGAGGACCCCTGACAAGTCAGTGCACTGGCTCTGGGCCAGCTCCAGGCTGGCCTGTCTGTTGCCACCTCAGGACACCAGTCACAGCAGCAGACAGGTGGGGTTTGGCCAGCACTGCACTGGCTTCAGACAGAAGGGAAGCTTTCCCTACCCCACAGGGGGCCCTGAAAACAATAACTAATCAGACCCACTAGGTTACCCAGATGAGTTGGGGGAAAAACCAACCCAAATTACCCTATGTGGGGAAATAAATATAAATAAATGGTAATCCTTTCTTAAAGGGTCACTTTTCTTCAAGGGTTGGTGAGACACAGCATCTAAAAAAGCTTTAACCAGAATCTAGCAGTCCCTGTGGACCATTTTTGAGGTGGGTCCCCTAATTTAACCAGGTCCACTCCAAGGAGCAGCCAGTCTAACTCTGGAGGTCTGCAGAGCTCTGTGATGGGACAGGCTCGGATGCCTAGTGTCTGCTGGGGAATGTCAGACCCACTTTTGGATCCCCACTGTTCCAGTCACAGCTGTGGTGAGAAACCTGAGGCTGCCTCCCAGAACACAATGGAGGCAGGGAAAGCAGGGCTGGGCTAGGGTGTTAAGCCCATGATCTGCCAGGTTGACTGAGTCTCTAGATTTGAGTGTAGGTTTCTGGAAACCACTTCCAAGTCAATTCTACAGAGGCATTCCCGTAACTGGCAACAGGCAGGGAGGCCATGCTCGTCACACATTTTTTATGAGAAGCAGAAACAGAGATAAAGCCATCCAAAATTATACAAAGACCACTAAAATTACAATGGTGTCAGTTAAGACATCATTTGCACATCGCTCCTGTTCCAGGAGCTTCTTCAAGCACCATAGTGAGAATGGGGAAGGGTAAAGGGTAAAATTCCACTTTGGCGATCTGATCTGGTCCATGCTCACACAAACAAGGTGTTTCCTACGGAAGATTTTCCCAATTCTCCAGAATATGCCGACTTTCTGGACATTGTTAAGTGGCAGCAGGAGAGCCAATAAATCAACTCACTGGTAGATATTTTACCTTGAAATGGAGTGATGTTTGGTTAATAATTTGAGGTCCACTAATCCTAAATGGGGTGACCCATTTAAAATGGCCTCTATGTAAGTTCACAGCTCATTAAATGGAGTCTGGTTTGAACAGATCATTATGTGGTTACTACATAAGTAATGGATTGAGTAAAGGTAGCTAGGGACAACCGGGGGACACACTGGCTGAATCTGATGACTTTAGTGTCACTGCTAAGCTTCCTTTTAATGTGAGTTTGGTTCAAATCACCAACTTTCAAATTTAGGTGGTTTTGCTTAGTAACCCTTTTGGTTTACAGTAGAAAATGCAGTGCAAAAATTTTAAATTAGGAATATTCTATTTACAATTAATTTAAACTTATGAAGCGGTTTTCACTGGCCCATCCAAACGTGTCAGTTTAACGTCAATGATGGCTTCTCACTATTTACACTTCGTTACTCTGATCAGTAACAGCAATGGAAAAGCTAAATGAAGTTAATGGGGAACGGATCACAAATTCTAAAAGGACTTCTTGGTTTGTTTTCAACCGGAAAATATAGAGAAAGATGAAGAGGCATTTTTGCCTCTACTCATAAATTTTTGGTACCAAACTTCTTAAAAACCAGATGGTTTAAAAAAAATTTTTCCAAAAATTATTTTAACATGCTGCTCAGACATGACTGCTAAAAAAATAGCATATACACATAACACTGAACAGCTTTGGCAGTGCCTGTAAACTTTCAACATGTTTTCACTTTCTTAAAAAAAAAAAAAAAAAAAAATATATATATATATATATTATAACCGATCACAGAACCAATCAATCTCCATTCTGCAACAGCATCAAGGTCCTTATATGCCTGACGATGATGAAAAACACAGGCCCATGCCTGCACCTAAGCAGGGCAGCAAGGAGGCATCCACAGGAAGGTCCCTCTGCTGCCCAAGGCCGAGGCCTGCAGCTGCACTCTGCAGACAGCAGTGGGGGCGGCAGTGGTGGGGCAAGGGCCGAGGCTGAGCCCTCACACCGGGAATGGGAATCCACAGCAGCACGCATGAGAACCCAGCACCACTAGCGAGACTTCACACCGACGAGGACAACAATGAGGACAATGATGATGACAAATAATATTAAAATCACAAGCATCTTCCGATTCTTCTTTTGGTACTGTTCTGCCTATAGAAAGAGGAGGAAAAAGGCAGTCATTTTCCCAAGAATCCCACACCAAGGCTCCCTGTTCTCTAGCATGAGGCTTTTGGCTCTTTCTGCATGGTGAGTGATGTCTCTGCTGCAGGCCGGGCTGCGCTATTAAACCCTCCCTCAATATGAATCAATCACCATGAGCGTAGAGCTCCCGACACTGCTCATCCACCCTGGCCTCAGAACACACTTGCTTGGAATCTACTTAAGACAAGGTGTAAGAGACACGAAAGATTACAATTCTGGATGCAGGTGACCTGCTTTTCTCTACACCGAATTCTCAGGAAGAGCCCCATGTCTGGGAACAAATGTAGACTTTCTTCCCTATACAAGGAAACAGCTAGCTAATTAATGTGACCAAGAGGTGTGGAACCCAAGAGTCTTCTACCTCCCCTTAACTTGGAAATAAAACCCTCATCCTCTGAAAAACAGGCAGGCAGCATGTCCCATGGATGCTGTGTGCAGTGCCCACCAAGGCAAGTCCTCCCAGCATCAATGACAGCACAACACAGGAGCTCCCAGCTCAGCCTGGGAATGAGGCTCCACACCTCTGCCCTACACACCGCACCCTGGAAGAGCTACACATTACTCTGTGCTCATGGTGTGCCAATGCCAATGTGCTTCATGTGGCTGGTGACAGACACAGACCCTTGAGGAAGGAGAGCTGGAAGACAACTGAGCTGCAAGGGTACCTCTGTGTACAGGAGACAGCAGGTTGGGGAGACCACCGTGAGGCTCAACCACCCTCAGAAAAACTGCCTGCTGAGGGAAGACAGAGCACAACTCCCTCCTGAGTAACCCCGAGCAACAGGGAAGGCAACGTCAAGTAATAATGAGAAGCCCCTCAAAATGACTCACAAAATAGAACCCAAAGCAAATTCCTAGTTCCCAGTAGATTTGCTTGTTCCTGCAGAGAAGGTTTCTCCTTTGTCTGTGTTATAATACAAAAAATGTTCCACTAATTTTTATTTAAGAACCTTTAAAACCAATGCATAATTAAGCAGCATATTAAAACCTGGCTAACAGAGTTAGGTACACTTTTAGTAGCTAGGGCTCGGCAACCAATTTAACCAAAGTACTTAGGAAGTCTCTGCACACACAGCAAGACTTCTCTTCCCCATGCTATGCTGGGTCTCATTCCCACCACACAAGGCTACAGCACAAGGAAGACCATTAAGGATTTCTGGTCAGACCACACAAGGATGGACTCTGAACTGGATACCATTAGATGGCCACCTCTGCTATGGGACACAACCAGTTTCAGAAAAATAACAACACGCACCTTAGAGAATTGGGAAGATGCTCATAACAGGGCTAGAAATACCACTGGGTCTCAACGACACAAGGAAGTAGACAGAATTTATTTTGTCTGTGAGTATTGTTACATTCCTTTTAAGGGAAATTTGTGCCCACTTATATACGAGCACTCAGCAGTCCAAGAGTGTTTCTCCTAACTGATTACAACATTTCTAAGATGCTCTCCGTTGATTTTTTTTTTTAAAGAAATAAATTAACAAATATCATGAAAACATCCTGAAATAGGCACCTCATTAGCAAGAATGGGAGCACTGCCACTCAATTCCACCATTTCTGCACTCGAGGTGACACTGACCTGCTGTGGCAATAATGGGTGCTCTAGACTGTTTTTCTTTCCAGAGCAGCTCCCACCAACACCTCGGCAGCAGTGTGTCCCAACGCCAGGAGCCTCAGTCAGCAGCAACACAATGGCAGACCAACACACACTCAGCAAATGCCCCTTCTACTGATCCCTCCTACTACCACCACCAAACAAAAAGACTTGGAAAGGCTGGAGAAAGGAAAGAGACCCTAGGCCCTTAAGGATTTGTTGTCACCAAATGAAGTGCTCAGCCACATCTGACCTCAGGGCAATGCACACATGGACTGGCCACCAGCAGTACAATGGCAGCAAGCCGCACAGTTGGCTGTGAATGAGATGATGGTGTACATTTCTACACAACTGTACTGAGAGCCAATCAAAAACTTCAATGCTGAGGACAGGTATGACAGAAGGGAATCCTCGTAGGAATTCTTGAGATTTGGTAACAGGTCCTAAAATTCTTAACCATTGAAAGATGTCGTTACCTTGTGGAGCTGTTTCAAGCCATCTTCGGTTTTGATGCAGGACTGTTCAACGTTGTAATCAATTCTATCAAGGACCGTACCCTAAGTAATAAAGAACAGTTATGGAGAGTCAGCAATTGCAGCTGGGGAGTGTGAACTTCAAACACAACACATGCAAATCACAGGGTTAAAAAAACAGATAACCTGTGGTTATCTGTTTACCTAACCATGTGCTCAAGGTCCACACTGCTAACTCTGGAATCCACTCAAGCAATGTTAGTTACTCAGCAGCAGAGTACTGTGTTCATTGCAATAAGGTCTAACTTATGAAAAAGAAATACTGACAAACTAAAGTTTCTTTTTTGGATTAAGCCACTACAGGATACGCTGCATTCAGACTTGCTGAGGCTAAAAAAATACACAGTTCAGCGGAAATAGGTTCTGTGTGGCAAAGGGCCGGCTTCAGTGCCCACTTGCTGCTTAAACACTTGGATGAAGGCAAACGGAGAACGCCACTTAAAAGCTTGTCCAGCCGTGATCAGCCTGCAAACTATTACGTCTACAAACATGACATGGCTCTCCATGGGTCAGAGCAGAGCGCAGGAAGCTCCAGTCCACCAGCTAAAATGAAAGATCTGGCCTCAAGGAGAGCTGTTTTAATTATTTAATCGCTTGGTTCCTACAGGAAGAAGGGAACTCTGGACGGCATGGGAGGATGGGGCTCTTATCGGAAACATGCTGGATCAGGAGAGACAGCAGTTCACTGGGAAACACAGGAGTAATTAATGTAACTGGATCTTGTGCAGCCTGAACACTCCATTCTGCAGTTGGTTTCAGGGGGAGCAGGACCCAAATCCCTGCTGGCAAGATAATAAAATGCCCTAATCAGATTTTAACAGTGAACAACAATTTAACTCTACTTGAAAGCTAGTGGTTCCAATCGCCATTACACAATAACCTGCTGAAATTAGAAGGGAAATCTTATATATTGCTAGAATCAGTGCTAGGCTTGGTCAGAATCAACAAGGCCTCCAAAGCAGGGTACTCACCTGAGCACCTTTGGGCAAGGACAGAGAATATTAGAACCTCTATTCTTTTTTCTTTTTCAAATCTGAAAAAGGTTTATTAGTATTTTTATAAGGCATCTCAGTAGCCCATGTATATAATTTGTAAATACTGAAATACATATGTGTATATCTGTTCACACACTACACGCACACAAGGAACACAGGATCAAAGAGTTTTGAAGAAGGAACAGACTCCACAGCAAGAAAACACATAGGTGAGGGGGAACCTACGCACCTGCTCTACAATCATGGTTCCTAAGTCCCTGAAGATCTCGTTCAGGTCAGAAATGGACTGCACAATCTGACGGATCTCGCGTTCCCTCTCCTCCACCATCAGTGTACTCTGCTCCACCAGCGCCAACTGGTCATCCGTGAAGCCCTAGCAAAACAGCAGTGCACAGCTCGCATCAGGAAAGCTATGGTGTGCGAGCTGAGACATAATTTAGAGAAGGTAAATCCTGAAAACATCTCTGTGAAGCACACAGCAATACGTGAGCACTTATTCCTCCCCCACAGGAAAGACCCAAGCTCCCCAAAGCAGAGGCCCACAGGGCTGTGGCCAAAGCAGGGGTGCAGAGAGAGCCCGTGTCTGCAGCCATGAGAGGGCTCAGGGATGGTGTACTTCTCTGGGCTCTTCCCAAGAAAGCAGATTACAGAGAGAAACAGTATGGCTGCTCTTCTGCCCGATGCAAGGCCTACTCGTTGGCCTCACAAGTCAATAGCAGAGCTGCTCCATTTGCACTGCACAAGAGAGGTCTAGGAAGAGAGGAAAGCAGAATGGAGCGCAAATGCACTGGAGTCACTTTGCAGCCCCTTCACGTACCCGGTCGCACAGAGTATTATCGTCTCCATCATCCATTAGTGGTACTGATGTATCAAAAAAATGCTGGGCTCTTTCCTCTCGATTCTTCATGCCTATCATAGATAGGAATCCACTTTACTCAAATATGGAAACCATCGTGGCTACTGTTCCACCATTAACAGGGAGATCTAGAGTAAAGCTCCATATGGGGAGAACACCACATTCCCACATGCAGCAATGCGTGAGCTTCCGAGCTCTGCAAGACAAAGGCACACTGCGTGTGCACAGCTGAGGCAAGACAGAACTAGAACTGATGCAGCCATCTGAAAATCTCCAAGTGACACAAGCATTTATTCTGGCCACTGTTACAACGCATTCATGAAAGAGCTCAGTACTTCTCTTCAGGCACACCTCTAGTAAGAATTCCAAATGGCCCTAATCAAACTTCAGAAGTAATAAAATTAAAATACAAATAAGCCAGTTGCCAGAGGAAGGAAGACTATTTTGGGGGTGTGTGCAGGTAGGACTTATCAATTACAATGGCAATAAAGAGAAACCCCATTCACAGGGTAAGTAGGATGAGGATATAGCACTTCGGTTTCCCACTGTTTGGAGGTGTTTATGCCCTCCTCCCAGGAAGGCTTCTGGAGCAGCTGTAATGCAAATGTCACTTTAGGGGGCAACTGACTTTTACCTATTTGTGAGTAGCTCCCCCCACACTCCAACACCTAGAAAACAACAAGTTTCCCTAATGTGCTAGGTTGATTTTCAAATTCTTGGGAGCTTGACCTGGGATAAATCCATTTGCTTAGATGTGAACTATTCTGTTGCCCTTTTCCCACCCCTCTCTGCACTCTGCACTGGGAGCTATGCCTTCATTTCTCTCCAAGCTCCATGTGGGGAAGGGGATTCATTTTGTTTTAGAAGGTGTGAATGTGCTCAAAAAGTAACACTGAAAGGTACAGGGCTAAAAACAGAAACAGTAGCAAAAAAGAAGCAAAGAAACAAAAACCAGTTCTTTTCTTACTCAAAATCCCTTAAACAGGGCCAGCAGCACTCACGTTTCAAGTAGCCCGACTGTGCATGCCGGAAGCTGGTGGACAGCTCCTGCAGGGCCTGCGCTAGAGAGGCCACCACATTCCTCAGCAGTCGCTCCTCCTGCTCTGAGCAGGCCCGGTGGGCCCGACTTGGCAGGGCCTGCACAGCACGCTGGCACCTGTGGAAGAGCTGAGAGAAGAGCCTGGGCTCAGAGCAAGCCTGGTAGGGAGAGGAGAAGAGTTCCTCAGTTCCTCAGGGCTGGTGTACAGCAAGATAGTCAGGTAAAAGTGATCTGAGGCTTCATTTGTACAACAGGAAGACTTAAAACTACACTTCAGCCCCTCTGTGTGCCCACACTACACAGAAACATTCTGCTATGTTACATCTCCCGCTGTTATTGCATTTTTCTCATTTAATCCATATAAGCATGCTACAAAGCAGAAACGATTATTACTTTTATTCTCACTTTACAGGTGAGAACACTGGAGTCAGAGGGATTGCTTAAGCACCAAGCCCCTACTACACTGCTAGGAACCAGGGTTCACACACTTGGATTCAGAGAACTAGCACACAGGAGACTGAGACAAAGGAAAAATACGAACACTAAAGCTTAAACTATATTCAGCTATATCATTTAAAACTTAGTCAAGTTTAACATTTTACAAAAAAATTTTCTAGAATACTAAGTTTCTTTTTAAGAAATACATTTTAGCATAAAAACTTTAAAGTTTTTATGATGGAAGTTACACATTTTAAAATCAAATGACTGAATTATTTAGTGTTCTCAATTTAATTTTTATTTAATTAATCCTCAGTAATATCTACCAACAAATTGAAAAATAGTCCCTACACCTCCAAGAAAAACATTACACACACATGCTGAAACCTCGTGGAGGGGCTCTGGAAGTCCCTCTGAGAACTGCAGGTTAGAAAAAAAAACTCCAGGAAACTGTCCGCAGCTAGTTCAGAGTAGAGACACTTTGGGGCTTTGGAGGAAGTCATGGGAAGGCTGGGCTGGTCACCTACTTCCCTAAGGCCAACCTGTGCCCTTACCTGTGTGATCTCCTGGGTGGTTATCTCAATGGCGTGTTCCTCCTCACTGCTGTCATCCAGGGTGGGTCTGTTCAAATGCTTGTCGTGAAGGCTGGCTAATTCTTTCATCTTCTGTTTAATTCGGCCAACATCATATTGTATCTAAACAAATGAAGTCACCAGAACTCCACTCACGCCCGGCAGGTATCTGTCTGCCTCCAAGACAATTAGCTACACTCAGAATACAGAGGTGCATATCTAGTGAACCTGCTAACTCACTGACATGTAAGCAACTTTTATTTTAAATTACCAGAAACAAAATAAAACCAAGAACTATCCTTCTATGTTGTAAAGTTTTTCACTTTCTTTCTATAATTCAGGTAGTTGCTACTAATGATAAAACTAAAGGCAAAGTCATTAACACACATACACAACTTTTCCTTTGAATAAATGCAAAGCTTAGACAAACTAGTTTATATGGCAGATATTTTAAAATATGTTGTGAAACTAACATTCAACTTACTTCATCTACTCCATCCACCCATTTCGGAGGTGACCGTTTTGTCACACCAATTGCTGCTTCTGGGTCTAGGCTGATGCCTGACACCAGGGCCATTCGGTCATCAGCCAGCTACAGAAGAGAAATGGACATCAACCAATCATTTGAATTCAGTTTAGATATGGGTACTCTTGCTCCCTTTTAAATGTTGCTCCCTAAAAAGACACAGAAGTATAGGAGTAAATGCACTTGCCTGTATTATAAACTTGCTTTTGACACTGCTAGGATTTAGAATTGTTTTCCTATCTTTTCATGCACCAGTTCTTAATTTCCTTGGACATACTTGTGCACATGAATTTGACTTGATCTGGCTATAGAAATGTAATGAAAAAGTCAAAAAAGATCCTTAAAAGAAAGACCTCTTACTACTAGAACTATTGTAGAATGGCATGAGCCTGAGCAACTAACATTATCAAAAACAACTAAAAAGAAATATGAGGCTACAAAAGGAACTAATCAAAATCGTTAACAGTAGCAAGGTTTATTCACTTGTACTTAGCTTACTTTGGGAATCGTGATAATCTGGTTATCTTAAGTCACAAGACAACCAACCACAGGTTAAAATGTGTGCAAGAACTGCCTGAAAGAGTCACCAAAATTATCCACGTGGGACCAGAGCAATGCTTAAAACCTCAACATGATCTTACACTGCAGTTTCTTTCCTTCAATTAAATGTTCATTGGAAACACTTTCCCTTATTTTGAGATAATACTGATAGTTCTTACTTTTAAATGTTGTAAGATAGTTGCCTTAGCAAGCCTTAAGATGGAGGGAAATCACATGGTTTACAGGGTTTGGCATGGTTGCTATTATTATTATTATTTTGCTTGGAGGCAATGAACAGATAGATCTGAAAGACTCTTGAGGTACACTCAAGAGCTCAGAGTTTTTAAATGCCAGTTTCAAAAGATCCAATGATAATCAAATTATCATGGAAAATAGTCTTGTAAGTCCTTTATAGATAATACTTTGTAAATTTTCTAAATCACACTATAGAACTAGATGAAGAATTTGTGTTCATTTTCTTCCCCCTTCCCTGCAATTATCTAAGTTTTACTTATTTTTTTCATATATTTGGTAAATACTTATTTGCTTGCCTAATAATAAAGGAACAAGACAAAATTCAAAAACTCACAGATGAAGAGGGAAATAACATAAAAGGAACAACCTAGACCAAAAGAGCTCAAGTGACAGACTCTAGAATCCTGAACAGAAGGCTCAGAATGAAATTGCTAAAATCAGGCTGACCCCACCTGCTTGGGGTGTCCTGTGTACTTTAAGGGATCGAGGTCCTCTCAGGGACCACACTGGAGGGACCAGGTCCCAGGATTTTCCCTGAGCATCTGGGGGCAATGATTCAGTCCACCTGTGTTCAGTTCACACCACCACTGCAGGCTGGTATCATTGCCACCCTTGGACTACTGGCATGTCCTCCACACCTTGCCAGTCCCTGAAGTGATGATTCTCTACCACACACTACCACTGATTGGAACTGTGCATTCTTTTTATTATTTTAATCCTCACAAAAAACTAGGTAAGCAAGGAATTTTTCAATATATAAATACAGAAATTGAAACTGAGCAAAGTTAAGTAGCTTGCCCAAGGCCACCGAGCTACTATGTGACAAATTAAAACTTGGGTCAGCTGACTCCACAAGCTCCTTCCACCCATAAGTCACCAATCACTCTGACAGGCCCACGAAATATAACTGCAATTTGCTGAGAAAATCAATCTGGATAACTAGCCATCAGATTCAAACAACAAAGAGATCCAGGCCTTTTGATTCATTCCCACCAAGTGCACAGAGACTACAGGAAGCTCCAAATGAGCACACAGACATTGGTACACACTGGCTTCTCTTGCTGACCAGTATGGAACAGGCAAAGAGGGGGCATGCCTCAGCACCCACAGAGGTAGGGCTCCTATTCCACTGTGTTCCTGCTCCACAGCCACCAAGAGGTAGCCAACTTTGTGGTGGAGCACACACTGATTAAGGCAGAGGGACAAACCTCATGCCAGACTCCCAGCACCCTGCCAGCTACTGAGCAGCTGCTGGACACAGAGCCACTGATGCACTGGAGCAGAACCTGAACTTACAACTCGAGCTGTTTACATAAGGCAGAACCTAAGATTGCCACGGCACCTTCTGCTGAGTCTCAAGATTTCTACTATACCATCCTCTACTACTGTAACCCCACTTCAGCAGAGAGAATGATCTTATTTTGTTTCTAAGTTCATGAACAAAGTAAATTGAACTATTCTTACTGTTTACAAAGACACATTAAACTAAAAATGTATATATACCTCACTCTCTAAATTTACCTGCATTGTCACCAACATTTCAATCGACATAAATAAGAAATACTAAACCACAAACCATCAGCTGAAGAGGATGTAACTCTTTTAAGAAGCACTTTTTTTTTTATACAAGATGTATTCTCAAAAACCTAAATAGAAATCAAAATCAGGGAGAACACACTCTTAAGGTCCCAAGGCAACCTGTGAATGAGGGGACAGCACCAACCTGGACAGCTGGCCAAGGGCTTTCCATCCATGGCTTTGTGACTGTGCCAAAGAGAAACAACAGATGACTCTTTGGGACTGCAAACTTTAAATGGCAAATTATTTGTCCCCTTTTAATAGAGTTTATAGCCACAGCTCAACATGACAGAAATGCTGCCCCATTAAGAAGAAATATGTCATCTCTGTATATCAGTACAAATGTGCAATGTGTATCACAGTGTGTACTATTAAGAAAGAAAACAGTATGTTTTGGGTTGGGAAAACAACTGAAGATCAATGTCAACTATTTGAAATGGGAACAAATATGAAGATAAAAATACCTAAGCACAAAACAGTCGCCCCCTCAAACTTCCAGAGCCTCGCTTCCCACTTACAAACATGCTCTCCTACTTGCTGAAGACCAGCCTACACCCAACTTCAACTCTGCTATTTACACAGACCTCATCTATCCCACTTCTCACTCTCTTATCTATCCTTGCCTAATTTCAACTCACCCTTCCCAAAACACGATACTGGTTATTAAAGTTCTTCTTAAATGTATTTCGAGTGAAAAGTCTTTCCATATTTTTTAAATAAGGAAAAAAATGTTATAAAAGCTGTATGTGTAACAGTTGAGAATTTAAGAACCTGTCTCCTTGATTTGCGGCTGTCCTCCCAGAACACAGGTGCATTACCTGGCCTTACCCAGAGGCATGCTCCTGTGGGAGAAGCAGAAACTTCCAACAACGCTCACAGCAGCAGCTCATAGCTTTTGTGCTGGCTATCTTTTGCCCTTGATCCACTTCAGATGTAGACATCTGTCCTTTTAAAGAGTACTAGACAGTATAGACAAAGTATCCATCTCTCCCTCTTATAAATCTTGCTGTTCCAAACACAGAGCTTCCCTATTTTTATAAAATCCTACCTTCTCATGCAGGCTGATTTGGCATACTGTAAGATTAAGGAACAGTAGCACCTTGGTAGAGACGGGAAGAGTGAGACACACTTCCTGGCCATCTAAAAACAAAACCAAGTTCAACCACAATGCACTGGAATGAGAACGGCACTGACAAGTCTAAACTATGATATGAACACCTAAAAAAAGTCCACAAAAAACTTGGGAATTTATGGCCTGGAGCTGCTCTTCCACATGGGAGTCAGTGGTGAAGTCCGGCACAGCCCAGCCCAGAAGGCTCCCTCGCTTAACTAACAGAGAGCTGGGCTTGGGAAATCAGGGCTGTGGAGGAGTGAATGAGCAGGGGGTGAGGAGCAGGGGATGTCGGCACTGCGTTTTTCACCTGTGATAATTAAAGCATCTGTCTTCTGGTTGTGAAATTAGCTAGAATACTTTCTAAAGTACACCAAACATAAAGTATTAAAACCCAAGACCTACACCACCCTCATACCCAACTTTGCCAGTTTCACTGACACTTTCTTCTCCTAACTACTATATGTACCTTTTAAAAAATAAAAAGGGCTGGAGCTATGGCTCAAGCCTAGAGTTCAAACCCCAGTCCTATAAAAACCAAAAAAAGGAAAAAAAGGCAAAAAAAAAAAAAAAAAAAAAAGAGCAACAATTACCTGTCCCTGTTGGTAGTCTGTTAAACACTTCTATAGATTGATCTTTGTTGGTCCCAGGGACAATCCTTCAGCAGGGGTTGCTACCTCTTTTTTCTGGGCTAGCCTTGGCCTCCTGTGTAGCTGGGATTACAGGAATGTACTACCATGCCTGGCTTGTTTGTAGAGATAGGCAGGACCTCAATAATTTCTGCTGAGGCTGCCCTTAAACTGTAATTCTCCCAATATTCACCTCTTGAGTAGCTGGGATTACAAGGGTGAGCCTTTCGTGCCCAAATGATGCCTTGACATTTTAAAAATAGTTCCTATCTTGAAATTATAAAAACAACTTGGGATGTTACTTATCCCAGATAGATAAGGAGATTAGAGACAGAGGACAAAGGCACATCCCCAGAGGTCATCTTACTGCACATTTTCTGAGCAGAATGATGGTCATGTCTCCAGGATCCTCAGTTTGAGTAGGAGAGTGACTGACTTACTGGGTGCCTGCAGGAATCTTCAGTGAGCAGAAGCCAGCAGACAGATGACTTCACACTGGGAGGCCCACATGACAGCTGTTTATTACTCCCAGAAGACACCGTGGCGAAGCCCTACCTCAACCAGCAGGGAAGCAAGCCTTTGGACACCATTCCCAACAACACCCCGCTCCCCCAGCTCCTGATTCAACACCTGGCACTTCACAGTAAGGAACACACAATCATAACTAGCTGAGTCCATCAACAGTAAATGGCTGGAATGAACGAATGCAGTAAATAAAACACGACATGTATAATTCTGGAAACTACACTCCAAGAGCAAAGGCTGCTGAAGAAAGAGGAAAGAGGGCAAGTGAGAGCACAGGGGATGAGGTGGCTATGAGTACTCATGTAAAAAGAGCACGAGGATGCCCACCAGCATGTGTGCTCTATGCACAGTCCTGGTCACAGAACAGAAGATCAGCTTTTACACCCACAGAAACTAAGCATAAGAAAAGCCAAAGGAAGCTAGGCATGGTGACGCACACCTGTAAGCCCCGAAGCTGGTACATAATCCCAATACTCGGGCAGGCTAAGGCAGGAGAATCACACATTTCAAGCAAACATGAGCTACATCACTAGACCCCGTCTCAAAAAACACTGCTCAGTGTGCAGTGGCGTCTACTCTATGCTTACATCCATTTTCACTGTCTCCTGAGCCTTAACATTTCTAGAGTTGATCAGCAAATCCATCCACCTCCACTGCACCCAGAGATCCTTCACTTCACAGTGTGTGAGCCACAGTGACCTCTCATCTCTCCAGGCCCAGTGCCCAGGCTGGGTGCTGGCAGTGAGGTTCCTGAATAGAGGCAGGAAACTCCCATGCAGGCCTGGCCTTGGCACCTGCTCAATAAGCTTCAGGCTGAGGGTGTGTTTTTTTTAGTACTGTTTCTAGTGACAGAAGTAATACACGTGGTTAAAAATGTATGATCACCCAAGAAAAGAGTCTGCAATAGAAAGGAAGTTTCCTTCCTCTCCCATTCTGCCCGTCTTCCTCCCATACCTGGGAGGTATCTACTGTGAATGGATTCTCATGCATCTTTCCTAAGCACACGCAAACAGAAATGTCAGATTTCTTTTCTTCCTTTTTTTTTTTTAAAGGAGCAGAAATCACATTTTGGATCTAGCTTCCTTCCTACTTAGCCATGTGTCTGGGAGCACATTCTACGTACCCCTCATAGACTAGCTTCACTCTGTTGTTTATTTAACTGGGTCCCAATGAAAGATATTCATTGTGTGCAGTCTGTGGGTGTTAGCAACTAGTTAAGGTTTTTCAGACTTATAGATACATCTTTACCTACCAGTTAGGACTCCTCTGGTTTTGAAGGCAGTGAGTGATCCTAATCCCATTCACTGTACTAACCTATAAATTAAAACACATCAACTCTTCCCTTCAGTTGCTCTTTAGAAGGTCAACCCTCAGGAAAAAATATGGTTAACCCTTCACTGCTGATAGACCACAGACCCACAAGCACAAACAGCAGTTTACTCTCACTTTCAGCCCTTTTAGTAGAGGCACTAAAGTGCAGTGCGACTGCACACTGGCCGGTCTTCTGGGTGAACTCTGGTAAGAAGTGTGCTGCTAGGAAGGGGCAGCCACGGGCACTGCAAGAGGGAGTTCCAGAAACACAAAACACCCCTGGCTTCGTCCTAGGCAGGAACAGCTAGGAAGGCGTCAGCAGCACCAGTGTCTCCAGTCCTACCTGCTTGGGGCTTTTGTCAGTCAGCCTGTCCTCCTAGGCTCTAACCACCCTTCACTGGAAAATCAGGAAGCCACAGACAGAATCCCATAGGCGGTAGCTGACTTCACATTCAGGGACTGCTCACCCTTGACTGATTCCAAAGTGGAGAACTTTCCCGAAGCAGTAAATAATGCTCCTAAACCTCTTTCTAAATCATCAAATCATATGGCGTGAAAATACAATAAACATTCTAAGAACTAAACACATAAGAAATCAAAACAAATGCTAAGCATGCATAAGCTCTGCTACATTTTATGTGTGATCAAAGACATCAAGAGAAACAGGTATTTTATAAACTAAAATTACCTAACAGAAAAATATCCAAAACACAGTACCTCATCCAGCTCCTGCAGATGTGTTGTTGCCATCGGGCCCATCCAGGTAGGGTGAGCAGGAAGAAAAGCATGGGGCAGACAGATAAAGCACCGTCAGGTGAGAAGACAGTTGTTAAATAACTCTAAGTAGACAATAAAACAAAGATCTACTAGCCAAAGCATTGAAAAATCTCCTTTTGATCTTCCTTTCTTAAAAAAAAAAACAAACAAACTACATGAATATATGTTTTTATTTTTATTGACTGTAATTGTTGTTTTGGAACTCAACTAGGAAACAAGTTGCAGTAAGTAGTTGTAAAAATTAAAACACTCTTGCTTTGGCTTCACTAAATATACTGTTAAACTCTTTTCTAAGTATCAAATATCACATTTCCTTAGAAGACTAAAATAAGAGAAAAGCTAAAATACCACATTCTAAATTACCTTAGGAAGATAAAAGCTAAAATGTATTATTATTGTGTCAAATCAATGCATATTTTAACACTTAAATCAGTCCTGAGAATGCAACAAAATTAGAAAATGCACAACTCATAAAATTGTCTATGGCTATATTCAGGTAACACTAGCGTGATCACACATACAAAGGCTCCAAATTAGACCCCAAAGACACAGCTTTATCCACGTGATTGACCGATCTGGGAAGCTACTCTTTCCCGGAGACATAGGTGGGAAAATAAGAGAAAACTTGCATTTGCTTGGCAATGTACTACTATTAGTCTAGAAAGCATACTGTTATTTATAAAGCAATTATTAAAGCAAGCAAACAAGACAAAAACAAAAGGTAAGGAGAGACATCTTTGAGGAATGGGGAGGGCAGAATGGGTACCAGAAGGTTAAGTCTCAATTTAAAACTAAAGATTCTTTCTTAGATCAACGTGGAACTCTATCTTCTGAAGAGACAATTACTAATGACAGATAATCTAAAAAACAAGGTCTTTTTTTCAAACAATATTGATCACGGAAATAATTAGTGGTGAATTTCAATAATCAACTGTGTTGATTTTTTTATGTCTACTAGTAAATTTAGAAAATTAAAAAAACCATAACTTTCTTATTCAAAAATTAACACTGCAAATGAAGCTGATCAGGACCAAAATATTATTACACGATGATAGCAATAAAATGTAATCAAACACTCCTCCACGTAAAACTTCCCAGAGATGACATTCTAGAAAGATACAAATCCTCCCCACTCCTACAATTGCTGAGAGCACAGGAGAAACAGGTTTCTATGTGAATGCCGCCGTAACAGAATTGCTAGGGGATACTGACAGAGAAGACAGAACCAACGGACATCTGACTGCATTTCCTTTTACTTTAAAAAGGAAAATTGTAATTTTTAAAAGCTTAACATTTCCAGAAAGAGAGCATAGGACATCTTTTATCAATAAAGCCAGATGTGAAGCAAAACCCCTAACAGAGCCAAGCCTCTTCCCCTTCTACACCGGCCCCTTGGCATCTAATCTCGGACAAGTTATCACTGTAAACCGCTGTCAAAACCTCTGCTAAGCAGAAGCCTGTGCTGCTGGATTATTAACGGAGCACACAACCTTTTGATTTCTACAGTTACTAGATGGAAAGAGCAACTATCTTCTTACAAATAAGAACGTGAGATTCAAAATGCATCCACACAGTGCCGGAAGTCACAAAGCTTTTGACCAGGCCTTCCTCCATCCCCATCCTCTAGCCTCTTTAGTTTTATTAACAATTCAGGGAATTAAATGTGATAGATAGCTACTTATAACGCCATATTAGGAATTCAACTCAGAATGCCATCTTTTCAAAGACCCTCCTCCCCATTTTGCTACTTAAAAACAGAAAGCTTTCAAAACTCCCTCTGCCACGAAATTACCAGGAAATTTAGTCAAGACCTGAATTAAAACATTAAAACCCACTGCTACACATCATCACCTTCTAAATCTTTAAAATGTCTAAATCTAGGATTTGACCTGCCGATGGCCTGTGGTCAAGCAAATACTGAAAACTCCAAGTAGCATGTGGAATTTATAGTCTAAAGAACTTTCTACATAAAACTGAAAAATAAGTGGAAACCCATCTGTGTTTACTCAGGAAGTCTGGAGAAGTCGAGTAAAATGAGTTGAAAATACAGGTCTATGCTATCTTGATATTTACTTTATTTCCGTTACTGCCAAAATAAAAGTTTGCTTCACTTTTATCCAACAAAGTACCCTTATTCTCAAGTAAGCCTCCCTGCTCAAATGGAATCTTTAAAAGCAGAAAAGCAAATAGATCTAAAGGGAAATACACAATGATTTCATACTTGGATTCTAAAGACAGAGAACTGATTTTCCAACAGACACAGCCTGGACTAGAATGGAGGACCTTCAAGTTAAAATCAACCATGAAAGATTGTAAAGAGAGCCAGCCTATTGCAAGACGGTGTCTTTAAGCAATAAGTCCTTTCATTTTGCAGCATCTGCAGCCCAAGCCTTGGAAAACAGCCAATACCAGAGTGGCTCAGGAGGTGACCACCTGGGCAAGCGCTCCATCCACAGCCCCTACTTACAAGGCGTGTGACTGTGCCAGCTCCCGGTCCTCCACCCTCACTTTCCTTACCTGTATCTCAAGCATCTACTTTATGGGGCACTGTTGAGGACAGCACGAAGTTACACATGGAAAGGGCTCAGCCTGGTGCCAGGCACATGTAAGCGCTCAATAAATCTTAGCTAATATTGTAGTCAAGACTGAATAAGGACCTCAGGTTTCTTATAACTACAATTAATCCTTAATTTTTCTTTTTTTTCCCAAAAGCACACTTTTTATTAAAAATAATGTTCTAGTTTCAAACTAATCTAAAACCAATTAACTCTAGCTTCCATTTACAGACTGTGCATTATTTTACAGCAGAGTATAGATTAGCAGTGAACACTAACAAAGTAGCTCCAGCCCTGTGTCAGATTCCATCTAGGTCAAAGAAAACAAATCCACGCAGCATCTCAGCAGCTCACACAGCAACTCAACGTTGTCCACTTTTCACTCATTCTTTTAAGACTTTACACTTTCTAATTGATTATTTAACTTCATAAACCCATTTCAGTTTCCTGAAGCCAAACTGCCTGTAACTGGTTGAATGAGGCACTGCTCTAAAGCTTACACCTGGCCAATGATGGCAGAGACCTTTGCCCAGAACTGGGGCTACTTCTAAGTATCTTTGCCAGTAACACCAGGCTGAAAGCCACAAACCGTTGTGGACTACAGACTTTTCAAATGAAAGTTAAGGCTGTGTGCTTTAGTCAGGAGAAACAAGGCATTAAAACAGAACTTGAGAAAACACTAGAAATTACCTAACTCAAAACCCTCAGTTTACAAATGAGAAAAAAAAGATATCCAAAAAGATTAATTAATTCCCCAGCAGAGTAGAATTTGCCCCAAATTCCAGCACCCACAGACCAACGCTCGCTCTCCCTTTATTTCTTGTTGCCCTGAGGCATAAAGGTGATGGTACTAATACCAGAGAGCAAACACAAAGCTCAAGAATTACCAACAAATGCATTTTGCTCAGACACTAAAATCAAACCCCAGTCTATTTTTAACAATTAATTTTATTAATATTAATAAAATTAAAAAGTAAGTAGAATTTTGTTCAGTTCTGGGTGATGTAGTTTTAAAAGGACCCAGAAAAATTAGACATCATTCCGAGGAAAGAAACTTAACCATGCGTCTGAGCCGGGGCCGCTGAGCCTAGAAAAAACTCCCGGGAACAAGAGGCTGCAGGGTCGTCATGCAGGAAGACAGAACTAGCACCAGGAACACGGGATAGAAGACACAGACACCATTGGGATCGATACAGGAAAAGACATTTAGTAGGAAAAGGTGTGGAGTGGTGCCGGAATTTTCTGTTCTCATCACACAGTGTTAAGCAAGGAAGGCCCCAGGAGTTTTCAGAGATGTTGGGTCAAATGATCTTTAGATCCCGTCTGCCCCTTGGGGCTTTTTATTTGTTTGTTTTGCCTCTGCATATCCTCCTTAAATTCCCGATTTTTCTGTGACTATTTACCCTTCCCGCTTACTTGGGACTGTTTCCCTAGTGCTGCCATAAAGCTACATGCATTCCGCATAGGTACCTACAATAACTCCCCCTACCAATGAACTTCTATTTTCTTCTTCAAATTAGTATTCAAAAAATATGGGCTTAAATTTTTTTCGTGCTATAAGGCTTCAGGTGTGAAGCCTTTTGCTTTGAGGTGTGAGAAATACACACCCACAGGCTGCTTCAGGATCACTTTCTGCAGCTTTTCCCCACATAAGGATGTGAACATTCATTACATTTAAAAAAAAAAATCTATTATTTTAGGTATTTATTTTTAATTATGTATGAGATAACAAATAAACCAAAATCAACTTGTATGCTTTTTTCTTCTAATTAGGAACTTAAAATTTCAGGTTATGTTTTTTTTTAAATTTTAAGAGAAACTCTCAGGTTTGGTTACTTCTTTCTTAAATACTTAAACTTAAATATACAGTTATAAGTTGTTCCTTTTGTTTTACTTTTCAAGGACAAATATACTACTTTTTTAAGTTTTTATTTATAATTTTTCAAACATATAGCAGAGTATGTAAAATGGCACAATGTCCCATCATCCATATTTATCAGCTAGACTTAAAAATGATAATATTATGCCTCATTTGTTTCCTATGTTTTTTGAGGGGAATTAAGTACTTAAAAGTAACAGTGTGGTGACATTTCACTAAATAATTCAGCAGACATCTCTGCTAAACAAATTTAATTAATCATAATTAGTTTGATAATTTCTTGATATCCCCTAATGCCTAGCCCCTATCAGAGCTGGCAGGGTTTTGAGCTGCTACATGGCTTTAAAATCTACAAGTCAGAAATGAGCTTTTCACATTTTTCTAAGCTAGGTAAGCAGTAAGAAACTGTATGACTTCTTCAATACTGTTTTTTAAAACTGTGTTGGGCATGTCTTTTTCTCCAAAATGTTTATAATGCTTTTCTAACTTCCAGAAAAGCTGAAAAAAATTGCAACCTCTACTTATTGAACATCTTGCCATATTCGGTTGTGTGTGCAGAAATTCTTTCTGTGAAATTACTACAGGCAAACTGAAGATGTAACGCTTGGCCTCTAAATACCTCAGGAATTTATGCCGTGCAATGTGGTTTTAATGCACACAATTAAAATACATAAATGTGCGTTTTCTTTTTAAATTCTAACTTAGGCACACTATTTTTGCTAGTATTACAGAATCTACTTCTGAACTGACTATACCAATATAAAAAATGATCTGAATGCTTTTAATGATCTACGAGTTCAAATGCTCAGACTAATATTAGTATGCAATATTTTCAACACGACACAAGATTTTTTTAATGTTCTGTCTTAGACATGTATTTCAGTTGAATTTAGAAATCTGTTTTCAAGAAATTGTGTAAATCAGCTAAATCTACCTGTGCATTTCCAAACTGTATACTTTAGCGATTCATTTGTAATTATTTTTCTTAGCTTATGTAGTTATAAAAATTGTCTAACTTAGAAAACCATTTTAAAAAGCAGTTTGACTCAGAGGTGCACTTTTAAAAAGATGCCCCTCTCAGCCAGCAAGTTTTTAAACGGTCTGAATTAATGGTTTAAAAAAAAAAATTGTCTCATGTTACCCAAAGGTTCAGAAGACACTGAATCTTATACAATTTAAAATTTTTAAACAAACCATATCTTTTTCAATCAATTAAAACTGAGACTGTAGAAGCATTAGCACGGGTTTCAGTTCCATTTTTCCCCCCATGAGGTAACAAAAAATCAAATAATTTAAGGAATATGCAGTTATTCTTATTTAACATAACCAAAGATCACTGATGTATTAATCATTCAGTTTCTACTCTCTATCTTGGCTTATTTCAGGACACACTTTTCAAAATTAGCGCTAAAATTAGTCCCAATCCATGCTAACAGACATCTTTACACTTATTTCTATATGATACCACTTCTTTCCGTCTATAAATGTAAAAATTCCTCAAATTCTTATGTAAATAAAAAATGAAACACGCTGTCCTCGCCTTCTACAATTTCTGAACAGCTCACACTCTTTTATTCCTGTATCGATTCACACGACTTAAAATCGCTTTTTTGTAATACGGCCAAAAAGATTTCCACCATGACTTACAAAAAGGAAAACAATGTCTTGATAGACATGTCAATAATCAGGACACATGGCAAAATTTTTCATTCGCATTTCAATAAATAAAAAAATTAAAGGGCAGTATAGCCCCTAAGGGGTGAAATAATTGTGGGATTTCAAAAAGTGTATGCAACATAATCCCTACAATCAACTTTTGGGATTTATTTATTCCCTCGTGCTCCAATGCGGCTTCCATTCAAAGCCAGCCTGTCTATAGCAGTATCCTACAGCAGCTCCTTTCACAACTTCACTTTTCAATTAAAGACATTACAGAGCTCTACTAGTCCTTTTTGGGTCATGCAGACCTGCCCCCTTATCTAACAAGAGTAGTAAGCTGAGCTCAGAAAGGGAAAGTCAGCCCCTCCTCGAAAACAAACTAAGCCCAGTCATCTTTCCAGGACCTTGCTAAGAAAGAAAAAAAGACGAAAAGAAAAAAGAAAAGACGAAAAGAAAAACAACTCTACTGCTAGGCTAAGTGACGTTTCTGGTCAATAAAATGAAGAAAAACATGTGCTATTTCAGGGGGTTAATTTTCACATACACATCATGTTTTTTTAAAAAACTTCGAATGGAGGGAAAAGCTTAATTTCCTGTCTGGGAAATGGAAAACGAAGAGCCTAGCACCTTCTAGTCTCACAAACATGAGCCCCCAGGAAAAACAGTGAAGCAATTATTCTTAGGGAACACGGGCACACAGGGCTGAGACCATTAAAAGAAAACGAGTGGGGGGGGGGGGGGGAAGGCACACACACACCACAACTGCTTCCTCTGGGGGTAGGGAGTCGTTCACTTGCAAGGGTTTGGGTCTGGGATCCTGCAACCTGGCCATCAGCGCCAAAGTGAGGCCCACTATGACGGGGGAGGGAGGAGGAGGGAGGAGAGCTTCAACAAAACCAAACAAAAAAAGAAAGCTTCCAGAAAGGTCCAAGGCTTCCAAATCCCAGTGTTAAAACATATGTAAATTGCAGCGGCCGTCGTGCAGTGACGCCGCGGGAGGGGGAGGACTGGGAGGGCCGCGGAAGTGAGCGGAGTGGGCCAGGCAGAGGTGGGGCAGGGGCCTGGTGCTGGTTTCCCATCCAGGGCTGTAGGTGCCCCCTGACCCTAGCCAAGAGCTCGCATTGCCGTATAACTCTTAGTCTTATGACTCTTCTTCTTCTTCTTTTTTTTTAAACAGAGAGACAGACACAGACAGACAGACAGGCAGAGCCGCAGTGCACACGGTGCGTGTGTCGGCGAGGCCGCCAGGAGACTCACCGCAGCAATGCTACGTGAATGCAGAGGACTGGAGGTGGTGTGACTACTCACTTGCTCGGCTAACAGCTGCCGGTTTTGGATGGAATTATTCCGCAACAACAAGAAAGCGTCGGTTAAACGCCTGGTGGCCATGTCTCACCCTTTGTGGCCCCCCTTTCAGGGTCCCCTCCCCCCCTATAGCCCTGATTTATTCACTTTCTTTCTCTTGGTCTGGCCTAGCCGGCCCACCCTTTCACAGAAGCCTCTCTTGACAAGGCCCTAGGCCTCAAGCCAAAAAGGCGCAGCTTTGCGCTCCGCCAAGGCGCAAAGACCCCTCCCCAAATAACCACCTAGATTTTCCAATTGTCTGACTCCCCCTACCCAGGACCTGGCTTCGATCTCTAAGCACCTGAATCCCCCCAATCCTTGCCTAGCGAGCCAACGTCCCAGAGACCCCACCCCAATCCAACTTTGGATCTACAAGCGTTTAACTCGCCAATCCGGCTTGGGAATGGGAGAACCTGAAGCCCCCTGCCCCCTCAGTTTCTCAGACACCCAAAAGATCCGTACGCCCTTCTCCTAACTTGGCTTTGGAGCGTCTAGGTCGCGCCCTGACACCGGGTTCTAACTCACTTTTCTAACCAGAGGGCTTCAACCTAGCTCTTAACTTTGGACAACCACAAGCAGGCCGAGCCCTGAACTACAGAGCGCCTGCAGCTCCCTCCCTCAACCGAATCTGAGCTTGCTAAGACTCGGCTCGACCTCCTGACCCCTTCCTTTCCTGGGTGGCCTGGTCCTCTACAGCCAGCAGATTGCCAGCCTCCAGGAGGTCAGCAGGGCCTCCTCCCCAGCCTTCTCACTCCTCTTCTCCGGCTCCCTCCATCCCCGGATCTGACTGCAAGCCCAGCCCCAGGCAGTTTCCGTGCTGTGGTCCCGGGTTCTGGCGTCCCCCTTGGCCCTCTTCCTGTCCGTCTCTCGCGAGTGCCCCCCTGCGACGCTCACAAGGCTTGCTCGTAACGTTCCGGGAGCGGGAGCTCCCTGCCCCTTTGCCCCCGGGGCGGGAGTGCCCCGCCTTCTCCCGGAATGTTGCTGGAGTACCCATTTTTTTCCCTTTGCCAAAGTAATTTCGGGCACTGGACTAGACGGGCGGGTAGATGCGAGCTTTAACAGTGTGGCCCCTACGCTGGAAATCGTTTCCAGGGGCCTTGGCGTGCGCTTTAGACTGTAAGTGGCTCCGAAGGCAAACTTAGGCTCCAGCAGAGCCGAGCCATGTTACAGGGCGGGCGGGGCTGGAGGAGAAGGGGGCGGCGACTGCCTCTGCAGGCCGAGCACGCGCCACTGCAGGCAGCGGCTCGCGCCTTTTTATTTTTTTTAACTCTGGGGAAAAAAAAAAAAAAAAAACAATGTGTCTGAGAAACAACTAGAAGGAAAAAATGAAGCCAGCGCGCTTTCCGGGCCTCCAGGCCGCCTGGGCAGCGCTGGGGGCCCTCGGGGGTCGTCGGGGCGCCCTCCCCGCCCTCCCCGCCGCCGCTTTCTGTAGGGGGCACTGCAGAGTTGTGGATCTCCAGTGGGCGAGCTCCCGGCCAGCTTTCACACCCCCATCCCCCGCCTCCCACAGCTGTCCCCTGTGCCTGCGCCCCGGCGAGCTGGGCCCTGGCCCGCACTGTCGCCTGGTCTCCCGCCTCGCCCCGAGCACGGTCGCCCCGGTCGGGCCGGCTGGGTTCACCGAGGCTCGAGTCGCGGCGAGGCCCGGGTCGCGGAGCGCGGCCAGGGGGCTTCGGGGGCGGGCGTGCGCAGGGCCCCGGTGCTTCGCTCGGGGAGGACGCAGTGCGCGCGGTGCAGCTAGACATCGCGTAAATGGTGGCTTGCAGGCAAACAGCCCAATGCATCGGAGAAAGCAGCACCCAGGGCCCGCGCTGGCTGCCGAGGCCGGTGCTTGGCTCGTGGAGGAGAATGCGAGGAGCCCCGTGGGGACCCCTGGGCTTCGTGGGCACCGCGGGAAATGTTTGCTGCAGGAGGCACAGTCCTGCTTCCGCACCGTACAGAGCCCCGCCCCAGTAAGATCTGACCCCAATGCCAAGGCCAAGCCCCCTCCTCCTCCCTTCTGGGGACAGTTCTTTGTAAATAACAATTGAGCTGGCCTTCCGGCAGGAACATCAAATTAGAGCTGCGCTCCTCATTCCGTTCCACTCTCTCGAGCCCTCATCCCCTTGCAAAGCAGGGGCTTGTTTACTTCTGCCTGGAACCTGATCTTCCTCCTACGCGGGACTGTGTTGTAGTCATCTTTGTACCCACAGCCATCTCATCTGGCTTGTAACCGGCTCTAGATAAATGGCTTTTAAATATGTGCACGAATGAATTAGAGACCTGAGATTTCATCCTCAAACTCTCTGACCTTCCTTCAGTTACTCTAAGCCTTTAGAATCCTATCTGCTAAAGAAAAAGAATGTGCGGTTTTCATAATCCCCGAGATCCATGCCCTGTCTACCTCCCTGGGGTTATTGTGGAGATCAAATAAGATAAGTGAAAACACTTTGTAAACTATCAGGTGCTGAGCAAATATTATATATGATGGTTATTCATTCATCCCCTCCATTCGGGAAGCTTAACCAAGTAATTCCTGGTATTGTGTTCAGCAGATGATGGTCACTCTTCCTGGTTAGGCTTAAATATTTATTGTGGGACAGCGTCAGTCACACATTTAGGAAATCAGTCAAGTTTCCATACCTTTGAGTGAAAGGAACAGTGCTTGCTTGCATAAATAATGGAAGAAAATCCCAAAACAGCCACCCTGAGCAATGCAAAAAGCCCAGGGGCAGGGAGATGGTGTGGAAGTCATGAGATCATTGTACAACCAGAGGCAGCACTAGACAGCTAGGCCCTGGGCAGCACCAGGCATGGGATTGTGTGCCCCAAATAGTGTGAAGTGAAAGGAAGGGAGCCCTTGAGAGGGGACACACTGTCTGCGGTCATGTCTGCGTGTGCCCTGACCCACTCTGGAAGAGAGGCGGAGGAGAGTATAATCATTACATTCCAGTGTTCCTTGGTTGTTTTATTTTCCTGTCTAGTGGTTTGAGCTGAGATTTTTTCTTTTTTAAGGCATTCCCTATGTATTTCCTTAGAATTGAAACCTAGGTTGATGGTTTTATACTTTAAAAGCTTCCATTGTGACTCATTCTTGACCTGGGATAGGATTCGGCAATGCTCCCCAAGCTTACTGAGCCTCAGTGTCCTGTTTCTTGGGCTTTGTACCCACTTTCAAACATTATGCCAATGGATCCAGGGAGTCACTTTGGGGAACAAGTGCATGATTGTCTGCTCATCACCCCAAGCAGTGCAGAAGGGAGTCCATTGATACAGACTTTCCTTATGAAGCCAGACATCGACAGGGCAGGGGAAGGTTTTTAAGTGCTGACAGGCTAGTGGTTAGACAAAATAGGTTAGCACTGTGAGCATGCAGCCTTTGGTGAAGAGATTTAAGTAGATAGGGCTGGTGACAGCCTTCTCCAGGCTCAAGATAAGTGGGAGCAGTCTTGCTGTCAGAAAACTCACCTGGGCCCCACTCTCTCAGGGAGGCATCAGGCTCCAAAGAGTAGGGCGAGGTCATGGGAAAGCTGAGTACTAGCCAAGCACATTTTCAAGATTCTTATTTGGTGGCTTGGGGATCCAGATGCTTCTGCGATGTCCCGTCAGGTAGAAGACGCACTGAAGTCAGTCCTTCATCTGCACAGATTTGATCTAACAGGGAGATTTGGGAAACAGTAGCTTTGCATTCTGTCTACCCAAATTGTTCCTCAAAACCTTGAGGACTTCTAACCCCAGAAAACTACCCCGTCTGTCTTCAGCTTTGATGCCTCTTTCCCTAGCAGAGGCTGGAAAAAGGCTTCAGTTTTGTTTTGTCCAGACCCCATTAGCTTTTTATCCCAGACAATTCAATTCTGCCAGTGTTTCTAAAAATCTGTCAGTGACTGTGCCTCGCAGTTGCTCAAAGGGAGGAGACAGACCCAGAGTCTTGCCTTCAAGGAATTTGCATCTCCACCACCTCTGCCCAAATTCTGTTCTCACCATGTGCACTTTTCAGGCAGCCTCCTAACCACACGTCTCTCTTCCTTTATCCATCCTCTACCCTGCAGCTGTGGTGACCTTTCCACAAATCTGATCATGTCACTGCCTGATGGAGGCCCTGAAACAGCTCCCTCTGGCCATGGCAGCCCACTCAAACGATGCACAAAGCAGGTGCCGTCTCTGCTGGGCCGGCACTAATATTAACTAATGACGCTCTTCTTTTGGTTGGCAGAAAAAATTAAGCTAATTGATGTACTGGTCTCCATCTTAAGTGTTTCTCTCCTCACTTTCTCTTAAACCATCAGTCCCAGCTATTAGAACACAATATAGGGCTAGAACTGATTTATCCCAGAAGCATACATTCAGTGCAGGGCTTTTTTTTTTTTTTTTTTTTGCTTGATGTTTTCATCCTTCCTGGTGTTCTGCATTGCAGGTATTGTGTCCTCGCCCACAAACAGAGTGCTGCCAGGATGGAAGGCTGGCATCCAAGGCCCTTCCTAACTGGCCTCACCGTGTGGGCTGCTTCCTTTCCAGGACTTGGCTCATGGACTTTTCTCTGTGAGGTGGACCCTTCCCCTTCTGGTTAGGGAGCTCTTCCTTTTAGACTTAGCACACCCCACTGTCTGCTGCAATAAGTGTTTGTGGGATGGATAGCTGGATACACAGAAAGATGAGGTCAAATGTATTGAATACTAGAGAACCCAGACAGATAAGACTCCAAATGGACTGTGTAGACAAAAAGCATGGTGGTCCTCTGTCTACCACTAGTGTGGTTCTTCATCTACACTGGCCCTCACACTGTTCTTCAAGTTGCCTGAGCACTTGGCCCTCCTTTGGGGGTCTTGGTATGACTGGTTCCTTCCCACAACTCAGGTCCACTGGCTAGAAAGCAGCCCTTCTACCTTGTCCACGTTGTGGGAGCAGACTCCCCTCCCCTAGGGCCCACGCTCGGTCAGCCTCGAGACTCAAACGATGTCTAACATCCTGGCTTTCGGTCTCTGAGGCCAAGAAAGGGGCCTCTTTGGTAACAGCCCATGCCAGCAAAGCTTATCTGCATTATCCTTTTTCTTTTTTTTCTCCCAGGATGATGTTGACACATGTCCTCAAATAAATCAGCTCCCATCTTAACCATCGCCCTTGGCAGGAACACGACGTTGCTGTGCCAAGCCGGTCCTCACCAGTGTGACTCAGCCCTTGAAATATAAAGGAAATCATTGTGTTTTCACACTGGTCGGTATTGAGACGCAGCCAGCTCGTCAGTTTCTAGCTTTTCTTCTCCCTATGGCCACAGCCACTGACCTGCTCGTGGTAATTTGTGTACTGTGCAAGCACAAGGCTGGACGCTAGCCTTCTCCAGATACCACTTTGTTACCAGCAGCCTCTCATTAGCCACATGGCCATGTGCAGGTCAGGCTTCTTCGGTTGCAGGTGATGAAACCCAAATCAAAATTTAAAAGCAAATGTATTGTCAAAAGTAAACAAAAAAAATCTAGGTGTAGCTGTGTCCAGAGGGTAAACAGTATCACAAGAGTCTCTGTGTCTCTTCTCTTCCTTCCTCTAGGTGTTTCCTTCTCTGGCCTTCTCTCCCAGGGAGGTGACATTGATACCTGGAAGTTCTATACTAGTGTCCCACAATAGAGCAACCGTACAGGAAGAACATGTCTCCTTCCCAACAGTTTCCACAAAACTCCCTCAATGGACTCTTCTTGGCCTCTCTTAGGTCACATCCTTACCCCAAAACCCAAAACAGTGGCCAACAAGTAGTGATCACCAAATGAGACAGGCCTAAGTCACATGACCACTTCTGAACTTAGAAAAGTAAGGGTGCT